GCTGGGGCGCTGCCGATTGGTCCTGCAGCGCCCGCTCTGGGCACTACTGGACCAACCCGGCAGCACCCCAGCTGCTCTGCCCCAGGTGTCCCCAAGTCAGCTTCTGCTGAAACTGACCAGCGCTGACTACAGGAAGCCCCAGGCAGAGTTGCTCTGCCCCGGGCTTCCTGGAATCAGCTGCTGATCAGTTTCAGCAGCAGCTGACTTGGGGACGCCTGGGGTTCTTAAGTTGATTCTGTATGTAAGTCAGAACTGACAGTCAGTTTCAGCAGTGTCTGAATCTGGACGCCAGTTCCGACTTACATACAGATTCAACTTAAGAACAAACCTACAGTCCCTATCTTGTACGTAATCCGGGGACTGCCTGTAGTCCTTTGTTAGTTTTTTAAAGAGATGTGTGTCTGCCTATGGGATATTCACTTCCTGAATTGCTGCAACTTATCTCCCTCTTTCACACAGATACCCTCTGCATATTAAATATAACTTCTGTCTTCTCCATATTTTTACAAGAATTGCCGCTGTTTCTTGCAAGCTTTATTGGTCTGAACTCCTCAGCATCTTCCAGATTTCTCCTGACTAATAGCAAGAATAATCTCCTCCCAAAAAACTTCCACTGTTCTTTAGCCTCTCAACAAAGACAACCCCTGCATCTCTTTAATGAATCCTGATAGTATTGTGTGTTTGCTTTCTCAATGACCCTATAGGATACGGGCATGACTGAGACTTTAAAGTTGGCCTTGCACAATGAAATTTGATCACCCTTTGTCCAAGAGGCATACAATATTGGGGTGCTTTCAAAGTCTCAGTAACTCCTGGAATTCCAGGTAGTATCGGCCAAAAATGGTCCAGTTACTGTGGCAGTTGACATCATTTCAAGACCTCTTACTAACAGAGCTAAAGTGGCTGGATAAGTGTTGTATAAAGATCCAGTTTGGCATTAAACAGTAGGATATGGACCAATATTGAGTCTTTACAACCATATGTTCACCCATAAACTGCAGTTTATAAATTTTGCTTTACACATTCATGCATGGATTTCTTTTTAATCCTTACGTCTAGCTAATACTACGTGTGGAATTAAGAACCCTGTTGCATTGGATGCATGTGTGCATTACTGTAATGCAGTTATATGTTGCAGTCTGTAATAATTTTGGATTAGCTGAGTTTTCTTTCCTTCTGCAGGTGGAACGTAAAAAATAGTTCTTGGATTATAACTCAGGAACTGAAGCCCTTAGTGGTGACTCTGGACTTCCAGAGAAACAACAAAACAGTATTTAAGTCTACAAACTTCGCAGGATATGTGGGCATAGTATCTGGAATCAAACCAGTAAGTATTCTTTGTTTGTAATGATACAAAACTTTCTAGGTTTTCCCTTTTTTAGCGCACAATTCACTTTCCTTCCAAGATCAAATAGCAAATATCCATCTTCACAGATTGTCCTCCGTCTTTGTAACTGAGCCCTTTACATGTAATTGAGAAGGAAATATACATTTCCAAAGAGTGGAAGAAGAAAGGATACTTGTTGAAGGCCATTGATTTGCGCAATTTCATTATAGAAGGAAACAACCCAAATAAAATACTTGAACTTTGAAGCAAGCTTGTGTAGCTAAATCTTAAAGAAAAAGGAAAGGAAAGAAAAATTTAAATGAGCAAGCTTTGTAAACATGTAAAAAGTGAGATCACCTGTGATTCCCAAAAAGGGGAACCAGCAAACTTAGTCAGGGTTCTTAGTGTTAATCTCTCTTCCTAGTAAATGTAGAGATGTATTTTAAATTGACTTATCTTGGTTTACCAGCAGTGAGATTTGGCGGTTACCTAGAGTTTAATCACTGTGACTATAAACATACACCCTTCCTCTCAAACTGGGGGCATTCCTCACTGCTTCCTCTTTTCCCTTTATTTTAGCATTACCTCAGTCTTTTCTATGTGCTCTATCCAACTACTCTCCTCTACCATTTTAGTCCCCAGCACAGTAGAATGAGTTTCACCTTCAGTCCCTGTTCCTTCTTAACCTTTCTTCATCTTGGTAATTCCACAAGCCAACAACTTGGAAAGATCAACTTAGCTGTTGTGTTCTATTCCCACCCCACTAAAGGAGCAGAGTGTACATGAGGGAAACTTTTGAGGCTTTAACATGGAGTCTAATGCACACATCACCAGAGGGCACTCTTTATACAAGAGTTCATAACACTTTCAAACGTGTTGGAAGATCAAGTGCTGTAGATCTGAAACAGATAATATTCTTATTCAGTGCCAATATTACGGATGGCTAGATATTTGATTCCATTGATTTAATAGTCAAAGATATCTGTAAAACACTCAGGCTACGTCTACACTGGCCCCTTTTCCGGAAGGGGCATGGTAATTTTTGAGATCGTAATAGGGAAATCCGCGGGGGATTTAAATATCCCCCGCGGCATTTAAATAAAAATGTCCGCCGCTTTTTTCCGGCTTTTAGAAAGGCCGGAAAAGAGCGTCTACACTGGACCCGATCCTCCGGAAAAAAAGCCCTTTTCCGGAGGATCTTATTCCTACTCTGAAGTACCCTTGCACTTTGAAGTAGGAATAAGATCCTCCGGAAAAGGATATTTAAATCCCCTGCGCATTTCCCTATTGCGATTTCAAAAATTACCATGCCCCTTCGAAAAGGGCGCTTTTTCCGGAGGATCGGGGCCAGTGTAGACGCTCTTTTCCGGCTTTTCTAAAAGCCGGAAAAAAGCGGCGGACATTTTTATTTAAATGCCGCGGGGGATATTTAAATCCCCCGCGGATTTCCCTATTACGATCTCAAAAATTACCATGCCCCTTCCGGAAAAGGGGCCAGTGTAGACGTAGCCTGGGTGTTTCATGTGTGAGGATCCGGAGGATCGGGGCCAGTGTAGACGCTCTTTTCCGGCTTTTCTAAAAGCCGGAAAAAAGCGGCGGACATTTTTATTTAAATGCCGCGGGGGATATTTAAATCCCCCGCGGATTTCCCTATTACGATCTCAAAAATTACCATGCCCCTTCCGGAAAAGGGGCCAGTGTAGACGTAGCCTGGGTGTTTCATGTGTGAGGATAATGTGTAAGTGTGGTTCAGGTCACCATGTCATTGGGCAAGTGGGTAGATTGCGATCTAGTCTTCAAGCCTGGAAGTTCACTGAAGTCTGGTGTCGTTATGAAAGACTAAGCAAGTGGTTAGTTAGCAAGTAGTTAAAAAGGAGGTTGGTACTGAGGGGTGACTGATGTGCTGCTTCTGTACTAGTGTGGGAGAATGTCCCCAGCATTGACTTGGCACAACAGCAACATCTTTGTGGCTCACTACAGTAGGCTGCAAACCTTATGATCCAACTCCACTTCAGCCTTGTTTTACCCACATCTAGATTAGTGAGATTCTGCTGCATTTGTGTCTAATTTTGCAACCCCTTACTCAATGAGTAGTTCTACTGGTGTCTTCTGGAAACATTCTCACATAGAACAGATTACAGGACCAAGCTACATGTTCACTTTAAAATATAGTATTACTTTTAAATAGTTACTGACACTGCAACTTTATTATGAAAGCTAACTTAATTTTGTTTACTGTTTCCCAGGGAATTTTCACTCTTACGATGAATGAGCGTTTCAGTCTTGATGGTGGTTACATTGGTGAGTAACTGTAAGACTTGTTTCTTGAATAAATAGTAAAGTTTTCAAACGTTAGTGGCATCTACTAACTTACAAATAAGACTTGACATCACTGTCAGAGGTACAAGATAGGGAAACAGGAAGCTAACGCTAGAGATTATACAGGTATGTAGAAGCTATAAAAATCAGAAAGAAATAAGATTTTTTGTGTGTGTGTGAAGACAAGTTGTTACAATTGATGATTTTTTTCAGGAATCTTTGAGTGGATTCTTGGGAGGAGAGATGGTATGTGGATGGGCTTCCTCACCAGAACTGCACTAGAGAACAGTACAAGGTAACAATTTTTTTTTCTTCTGATCTTTCAGCGGCTTTGTTTACAGTGGCAAACATTAGCACTTGAAACCTCCTAGCTACTCTAAATGTTTAAAATCTATTAGAAGCTTGAAAAATCGATTGCCTATTTTGACAGAGGTAGATCTTTCTAGAAACTGGAAAAGGTTCCTTTTCTTGTCATGCATTTGTGTGTGTGGCTGGTTTGTTTTTGAGAAACCTTTCTTTCTTAAATGACATTAACAAGACTACTTCAAAACCTAGCACAAGTTGGAATGTTGACATGATATTGGAGAAAATGCATTGTTTTGCTCCAGCCCAGTAGGGGGAGTGTAACACACTTTAGTGAGTTATAAAAAAGTTTCCATTTTGGTCTTAATGACAATTAAACAGAAAACGATCCAGGAGACTTTTCCCAGTAAATTATAGGACTATACCATTTTTGTATAGCAAATCAGATTGTAAACATGAGCAGCTTCTATTGGGGAACTTTTACTTCCACAGGACTACGTAAAGTAACAACACTGAGTTGGTGTAAGTTTACTTATTGACTAAGACTGATAAAATGGAAAATACTTTTCTAAAGCTTCGATATTCAGTTATTCATAGGGCTTAAAGCACAGAGGGAAAAAATGTAGATTAACATGACTCTTCCCTAATGCATAATTTAGTTATCAAGAAGCAAAGGACCAACTGGTTAAAACAAGGCTACTGGCTCCAGCTTACTTCATACTGGGAGGAAACAAAACTGGAGAGGGCTGCGTGATCACTCGTAGCAGACTAGCGACCTTGGATATCTGGGAGTAAGTACAAGTTGCACCGCCTTAAACTGGGACACTCTCGTCCAGCAACA